TGTGGCCAGCAGGTGGAGGGAGGTGATCCTGCCTCTCTGCTCAGCCCTGGTGAGCCCCCACCTGGAGTACTGTGTCCAGTGCTGGGCTCCCCAGGACAAGAGAGACATGGCGCTACTGGAGAGAGTCCAGTGAAGGGCCACTAAGATGATGAGGGGACTGGAGCATCTCTCCTATGAGGAAAGGCTGAGGGAGCTGGCACCGTTTAGCTTGGAGAAGAGAAGACTGAGCTGGAACAGGTTGCCCAGAGAGGTAGTGGAGTTTCCTTCCCTGGAAATATTCAAAAGCTGTCTGGACACAATCCTGGGCAACATGCTCTAGGCGACCCCGCTCAAGCAGGGGTGTTGGACTAGATGATCTCCAGAGGTCCCTTCTAACCTCAACCATTCTGTGATTCTGCAATTCTTAAAAATATACTCTCTTAATCCACAGTCTCTGCCTAGTTATTAACATACAAGTAACAAGATAGAAGCCCTGCCTTTGCTTCCTAAATTTTAAGTGGAACTTTCGATTATGCATGCAATTACTACACATCAGTTTGACCAAAACCACCACCAAAACCACTGCCAAAACCCAAAACAACAATAAACACCACACATACCAACCCAGGCAGGCTCCCATGAAAAGAATAGGGATTTGTAAGTCATCTTGTGCTGCTTTGCTCAGTAATGTACTCCCTTTCCGAATATCCTGTTTAATAAACAAAAAAAAACACTGTATTCAGTGACATATTTAACCACAAGGCAGGAAAATATCAGAATGGTAGCAGTTTTTCCTGTAATAAAGAGACCATGTCTCCTGACCAGATAAGGTCGTATGTCCACACCCTGCAGAAGGTATCGATCTTAGGCAAGACTAAATGCATCTAAATTTCATTAAGCCCAGGGATCCTCAGCTATCTCACCAGTGGAGCATAAGTATCTCACCATTTAACGCTAACATCTTCCAGATCCAGTGTGGCATCCTGTTTGGAATCTCATTCAGAGGTACTTCATTAATTTAGGGGCAAGTAAACAGAAGTTAGCTACTGCAAGTCTTTTATGAGAACTGTTAAAAGATAAGCTTAGTTTAGCACTTAGTTTGGAAACATCAGGAACCTGATCCTGAGAACTCCAAAACCTCTTGGAAGAAACATTATATAAATCCACAGCGCACTACTAAACATAATGAAGAAGCTGAATGATTTTTTCCCTCCACATGACAGAGATATCATAATGGCATCACAAAAGCAAAAACAAGAGGCAAGAAAACAGGTCTGAATAGCTACGTCAGGAAGAACAAACAATACAGGTTTCAACGCAGGATCTCAACACTTCCCTTATATGCTCTAGTGCTACTCAATCATCGGTGGATGCAACTATACCTAAAATAGTTAAAATGATTTCTGTAAAGTGGGCCTAGAATAACTAGAATGTTTTTTATTTCATCATGATATACCTCTGGTTAACTGAGGCCATCAATTTTCAATGCAGCTCTTCCAAACGCTCTCAGAGGGAAGTTAGAAAATTTCAGTGAGCCTTGAAAAACCGAGTTAATATAACACTGAAAGATCCCAACGATCCAATTTATTTATAAATATGGTTTATATTTAAAAATCAAAGAGCAAAGATGTGGGACAGAGACTTTCCCATTCTGTTTTTTAAAGGCTACATAACTGTTAATCTCTTTTGGAAAAAGCTTTCAGAATAAGTAGCTAGAGGTCAACTCCACACTGGAGCAAAAGATATCAGGCTCCTTCAGGAACACACACCGTCTACACAAACGGTGCACATGGGGGTTGGAGGACAAACCAGCCAGTGAGTTGACAATGACTTCCTAGAAAAGAAGCAGGAATAACAAATTGCAGTTTAAGCTTGTTGAGAAGTCTACCTTCTACAGAAGAAATGCATTATCTAGCCATGATGGAAATCTGGTCTGAAAGACTTTGACAAGGTATTAATGCAAATTATTTTGCATTAGCACAAAGTTTGACTTTGCATTTATTCCATAGAACAGGGTAGGAAGGAAAAGTATGGATCTCAGATTTAGTTATGCATAAAAGACAAAACGTAGGCGTTAGATTATTACAAGCTTTCAATCTTAATCTCTTCCCTGTTTAATGAGATAAGTATCATTAACTACTAATCTTCCCTCTTAGCCTTTCTGAAACAAAGTGAATACGTTTGTCAGCAGGCAGAAGACTCTGCCAGAAACTTGGATTAGAGAGAGCAACAACAGGTCAGAGCTTCCCACCAGAGAAGCACGTTCTTTGACACAAGAACTATTCTTGTGCACTTACAGAAAATATTTCCAACTCTCCTTAAAGGTACTTTTAAATCCAATTAAAAAAAAAATCCAGAATATCACCTATATCTTATCCAGAAACTAGGGAGATCTTCAATTTCAAGCCTCCAAGCATGGAAAAAGTAAGTGTATTTTTCCAAAGCAGACTTGGAAAATTTTACTAAATTTGAGTAGCTTGAAGAGCTTGCTCTTAACTTTGTAAGATGCTTTGGGTAGTCTTCCGTTGGCAGTCAGGGTCTAATACTGTATCCAAATGCTATTCCTTGTTTTCAGTTACAGACTATGGGCCAGACTTTTTTTTAATAAAAATAGAGGGGAAAAGATCTGTAATCCTTCAAGATCCTGCAATTAAAAATGAATACAGGGATTCCTGTACCCACAAAGATATATTTATGTGATTACAACCTCGTCGATACGAGCACTTAGAGTCAGCAGTGCTACTGAAAGGCTCGTCCTGACTTCTTCCTCATTCATTCATCTCCGCGTCCAGTTCCTCATTCACACCCTCGCACTGCTCCCCCGCTCCTGCGCAGGTATAGGCAAATGTCAACCAGAAGGGTTGATCTGGGTTAAAATGGACCCTGGCAAACAAACAGCAGTTTCACATTTCTGACCTGAAGCTGTGAAATGTTGGGATACACAAAATCAAGGCATAAATCATGGCCTAGATTTAACTACTCTATACTAAGACGTATTTACTACAGATCACATCCAAGATGGTGCCAGTGCTGTACCATCAACAAGAACTACAAACCTTGTAGTTACCAATGATCTTAGAGCAATTTGCATCTAACCAGATAAAATTCAAATCTCCAAGCCAAGAACTGTCATTTCCAAATAACTGAAATGGCAGAACCAAAATCAGAGATTTTAGCCATCATTTTACCAAAAAGTGCTTCCCATAAGCATTTAGTTTACATTAGAGACTTAGCAACAGGCTAGAGAAGGCCTCAAAGGTATTAAAAAACATTAAGTGCACATCACTTTTCAACTTTTGCCAAACACTTTAATGACGGGATACACAAAATCAAGGCATAAATCACTACATTCTCACAGTCTTCAATTCAAACAACAGTCTACATTCTTTTTTACATAGCTCACTACATTCAGTTTTACCTGGTCCACAGTCATTTCTTAACAAGTTTCTTAAAATTTTCTTTGGATATTAAGCCAAACTATGGGTCAAAATAAATATAAATACTGAAAGTTTCCAACCCTCACCAAAAAGTAGTTTTATCTACCTCTTAACAGAAGATAATAGGTTTAAAAAAAAAAAAAAAAAAGCCTGCTTCAAGTCATAAAGCTTTAATTAAGGTTATTTTGGCTTTGCAACTTCTCCAGTGTATTCTTTAACTGAATGGAAGATTCAGTTCTTTGAAGACATTTGGCTTTACGTATCCTAAGGTAGAGATCTAAAGACTCCCTCTATTAAATTGTTTGTACCTCCTTTGTATTACCCCACTACACATCCCTTAAATACACTATTACATCACATTCTACTGAAAAATAGGGGAAGCTGGATTTTCTTATTAGTCAGTAGTTCTGACAACAACTGTTAGCATGCGTTTTTTGTTTTTTGTTTTTTTTAATCAAAAGCAAAGGGCTTACAAAATTAGTCTTAAAAACGGTAACCCTGTCACCAACAACATTTACACTGATGGAATTTTTGTAAGTTGTCTCCTACAAAAATATACTTTGTGAAGTAAAATCAGATGTAATGAAAATTCATCCTTTCATAGAAGTATGAAGAGATGGTAACAGAAATGTAGTTAGAATGACAACAAAAAGGTTACTGAACCAGTACTCTCTTCACACAGTATGCTGCCCACACTAGGTTCAAGAGATTTGTTTTAGTTCCCAGGGTAAAGGGGTCCCTCCATCCAGCTATGCTCTTCCCATATGGGTTCAGGTCACGTTGCAGCTAAGTTCTGTTGCTTCTCAAGACTCCTGCTGCTGTGAAGCAGATGTTATGGATCTTTTTTCTTGGAAATGCAGGAACCATTGGCATTAGGCTCACAGAGAAGAGGTGTTGCTAGCAAGTTAAATGAGGTGACTATATTTCAGTACCAGAAGAGTGCTCCCTTGCAGCATTCTGCTCTGAGAGTTCTCAAAGTCTGTTAGGATAAGATTGAGCTAAGAACAAAAAAATAGATTTAGGTTTTGCGCTTAGATATATAGATATATTTATATGCATGTACACGAACACACACGTGCGCATTTATTTTTTCAGTAATTATTAGTATCTCTCTTTTAACTGAAAACTAAAACAATTATGCCTAATGCAACAAAATACTAACTTGCTTTGTGTTCCTTTGAATTGTATCCAGATTTACCCTATAATTTGCTATGATAGTCTAAATTAGTCTGTTAATATTCTAATATGCAGCTGATTTATCATAACGTAGAAACAGAGACTAAATAACTCATAACTCGTTTAAGCCATGCCATCTAATTGCTATAACAGCTTCAGAACAATTTTTGTCTAATGCCAGTCAACTGCAGTAACTGTTTCCAGACAGTAAACTTACCTCTGAGCAACAATCCCAGTTATAAGTCAATCAGCTCTGTTCATACTACAAATATAAAATAATTTAAATTGAGAGTTTACATTTGGACAACACTCAAGGTGAGACGGCATACTACAGACATACAGATCCTATTCAATACAGGCACAAACAATTTCTGTACAAACATGACTGGCAGAGTCTGGAAATGTTCCCTGCATCATGAACAGATAAGAAATTAAATGAAATTTACAAGCCAAAAATATTAAAAAAAATAATCTCGTGATTTTCAAAATACACTGCTTTGTTGTAATATAACACAAGAGACCTCACTGTTTTCTTTTTTTTTTCCCCCTTCAAGAATTTTTACTTGTAATTTAAATTCAAGCAAACAAATAGCTTTATCCATGGAAGGAATGAAGGAACCCTCCATTCACTTTTCAGTTCAAAAATATAATATTACAATATGCTGCATATCAACGTGTCTTAGTTAGGTTTACAGAAGTGGAATAAACTCAAGATTTCACTGGATAACATTTGTAAGGTACTGACAAGTAACGTTACCACAATTCCCCTTTACAGTTATCTTTACAGTTGACTGATGTGATTTTGCAGCACTCAGTGATTTTGTGCTACCTAGGAAATGTTAAACAAACACTAATTCTAAGCCAACTTTTCACATGGTTAGAGTTACAGCGATTCTCAGTTCACAAACTTCACATTTAAGAAAAGCCAGAATCACTCACAGAATCACTCACAGAATCACTCACAGAATCACTCACAGAATCACTCACAGAATCACTCACAGAATCACTCACAGAATCACTCACAGAATCACTCACAGAATCACTCACAGAATCACTCACAGAATCACTCAC